CCCCAAAACCCCAAAACCCCAAAACCCCGTATCCAAAAAGTCGTCTATTTTTGGTAGTTTGGAATCTTTAATCTACTAAAATTATATATAGAAGTTTAATTCAGTAAGGGCCAAATTCAATTTATTCTTTGGATAAAAGATACAAAATCTAACAATGGAAGGAAAGACATACTATGCAGTCTGTATGATGCAAGAGGACCACCATTCAGGAGTGAGTGGTCTAGTGAAATTTGTTCAGCAGGAAGGCGGAAAGTGCCATATCTCAGCAGAACTAAAAGGCTTGAAACCAGGGTTGCATGGATTCCATGTTCACGAATTCGGTACTAAGTTATTCTCTGTCAATTTACTTTTCACTTTTATCACCATTTCAATTACTAAATCTTACCTTGTAGGAAACTTAACTAATGGGTGTGTAACTGCAGGTGCACATTTCAATCCTCATTAGAAGACTCATGCAGGTCCAAAGGACGAGAATCGTCATGTGGGAGATCTGGGAAACATTGAAGTAGGTGCCGATGGAATTGGCCGAATGGAAATGGATGACCATTTGCTTAAACTCTTTGGCGATACTGATAATATCATAGGAAGAGCTATGGTTGTTCATATGAAAGAAGATGATTTAGGAAGAGGTGGTGATGAGGAATCCTTAATTACTGGAAATGCTGGAGGTAGATTAGCTTGTGGAGTTATCGGTCACTCAGGACCTCTAGCAGTATGAACCCAAGAATAGATTTCTAAGCCAAAGTTATGATGAGACATTTGATCAGAACACATCCAAAGAATTTGAACAGAATTGAATAATTAAATAATTGATATCTAATAAGTAACTTTAAACTTATTAATAATTAGAATTAAATTGATATAAAGTAAAGTTAATAACCCTTAAAATAGTAACGAACTGGCCAACCAATATTTTATTAATTCTAAGGCTAGGATTAGATTTTAATTGAGCAAAAAGCAGATCAGATTAGGATATTTTCAGTGCTCTTATAATTATGATTATTGGGATTAGAATTCATAGGATAAGGCCTCCTATGATTGTGATTGTTGATGTTAGGAAGTTCAATGCTGGATTAGAATAATCCTCTCACCCCATTTGAGTTATTCTTGAATTAGGGCTTATTAATGATATTCTAGTAATCATTAAGCTCTTTGTCATACTTTACTTAGAATTTAGCTGCTTCTCTATGTTCATTTATCTTGTTAAGAACATCAATGCTTTGGCGCTCTCGAGAATCCTTAGGCCTAATTTTGTCTAATAACTTATGCCTCAATTCATTGCTTAATCTAGATTTAATCTCAGGAGTGTGAATACTAATGACACTGTCATTGACACTTTGATTATTTCTTTTGATTTGCTTTACTTATCTGGGTGTTTAAGCTTATCTAGAAATGAATGAGGGCTCATCTCTATGATTTTTTGAATGATAATGCTTACTTCTATCTTCAATATGATCTAGACTTTAGTTTCTAATCATATGTTATTGCTTCATTTATTATACGGTCTCTTCAATGTCATCCATAAACTACTAATCTCTGTCATTGAAGTCAGAGCCACTAATCAATTAGTGATGCTCATTAAAATGATGGTCATTTACAGCAAGATAGTTATGATTCTATTGTTAAGGAGGGGCTTGCTTATTTTGATTCATATTGTTTTGAATCATATTGATCTAAGCTATCTTCTCCATTTTTTCAACTTTTTTTTTCTCTCTTGCAAGTTCAGATTCCCTCATTTTAAGTTACTTATTTGCACTTGCAAGCATATCTTACAAAACATTTCTCTCACTCTCAATTTTTGAAAGCTAATCTTTTGCCTCCTTCAGCTTTCCTGTTTGAAGTTGTTTTAACTTTTGCTCTAGAGTTCTAACCTTGGTCTTGTTTTCATCATTAAACCTATTTATTTTCTGCAAGTTTTACTCTTGTTAACTCAGCATATTCTATAATTCTTTTATTTGGTACTGCAGTTAGTCAATAAATGAATCTCTTTTGTCTAATTTTGTAGTTACACTATCAAGTTTATCCTCCAGAGTATTTTTTTCCTTCAGACTACTCTTGTATTATTCTTCTAAGTGCTGATTCTCATCCTGCAAATCCTGAATTAATTCAGCTTGTTAAGTCTCGGTAGTCTCTTTGTAATCTTGTAATTATCTCATTGCTTATTATTTCTCGGATTCAAGCTTCTTCACCATTCTATATTTTAATATTAAGTGGAATTAATTACTTTTCAAGTTCCCTTGCATGAGACTCAGCCTTGTGGGCTCTTGTTTGGAGGTCCTGCTCAATAACCATGTACTCCTTGATCTTCTCGTTCAGGGTGTCCTGAATCTGTTGCTTCGTCTGCTCCACCAACTGAAATTTTCCTTAACTATTTTCCTTTGACTTTGAGACTTTTGAATTATCATTAGACTCAATTTTTTCTAACTTTTCTTTAAGCTCTCTATTTTTTATCTTCTTTCTTAAAGTTTTCCTAAAAGATAAGATTGTCTGAAATAATTACCTTTGACTAAAAAACAGCTGTCGCTTCAACTCATCTAATTATCTTTGTAATGTAACATTTTAATATTTAGTTTCGTCTATTTGCCAGATTAAATAGTTCTTATCATTATCAAGACTTTTCTCATTTATTATGGGGACCTTAGGTTTATATTTATTTATTTCATTAAAATCGTTACTCCCATAAACTAAAGGCATATCCTCAATGTAATCAGGTCTAAAATCAGGAATAGGAGCAACATAGTAGTCAGGCTAAAATGAGTTAAATATTTAGTTTGGATTAATACTATTTTAGTTCTAGATATTCCCTTGAACAAACTAATTCTCCTGGAAAAAATCATTTGGCATATGAATTGACCCTTGAATGAACTAGAACGAGTTCTGATGTAACTATGCTTAATTGGGCTATCCAATTTGATTTCTAACATAATTGTTGTTAGAATATAATTGATCTAAAGCTAAAATTCGATTAGGCTAGGATAGTTCAATCATAATATTATCTTAAACTGCAAAGTTATTTACTCTTTATTGTTAAAAATGAGGATAATCTATTTATTAAAAACTACTACTATTCTCTAACTATACACCCTCATCTATTTCTGATTAATCATTGCTAACATTATTCCTAGGCCACAGCATCATCATTGGATCTTATCTTTAAAAATTAATACGATTATTAGCTAATTGTGGTAAATTGTGGTGCTGATTTCCTAACTCATTATTTCTTAGAAAGTTATAGTGTCTTTGATTATTTAATAAGTTTCCATTGTTATGATTATGATCACTATCCTACTCTTACTACTCATCAGTCTCACTTATTTCGATTATTTAAGGTTGTGTATTAAACATTACTCTTCTAACTGGCCTTACTGGAATATCTCGTTGAGGAATATGATTCTCACTTTATAATCCATTTTATATAACATCAAAGTTTTAATTTAAATGCCTGATTTGATCATTATGTTGTTAGTTTGGTTGCTGTTATTAGTTTGGTTGATTTAGTAATATCTACCTTGGTACTTATAAAATAGTCCTTTACCCTCTGTCTGCAGTTCAAACATTCCTTTGATTTAATTAATTTACTAGGGGCTCATTAGAGTTAAAGATTGGTTACTAATTATTTCTACTCGAATGAGGTCGAGATGAATTCACTTATTAGATGACTTGGTTTATTTGAAAATTTTCCATTAAATATTTTAACTTTCTTAAGAAAATATTTTAAGATAAAATAAGTTCCTTTTTACGAATTTCAAGTTAAAATGATTCTATGGGGTTTTGGGGTTTTGGGG